CTTCTTTGAAATTTCTCAATAAATATGATGCGCTGACCCGATTCGAGGCTCGCTCGGATTCTCTGAATGAGTCACTTAGGCTCGCTCAGATTCTCTGAGTGGGTCCCTTGGGGCTTACTCGGTCCCTTGGTCTCGCTCTTAAACTTTACTTCTGTCTCTGACTCTTTATTTAATCTACGCCACCCCTCAAGAGAAACCCGTTTGCCCTTGCCACGCTGGACGTGACACTCTCCCAGCCTTCCCCACTCCCCCCTCCAAGGGGCACCTCCCTTCTGGAGGCCTGGGACTCTTACAACTCCCCTCCTTCTTCCTGGACAGCGCCAGGCAGAGCGGATGTCCCAGATCAAGAGACTCCTTAGTGAGAAGAAGACCTGCCAGTGCCCCCAGTAAGGAGGAATTGGGGAGGAGGGAAGGGGAGGGGGGGAGAAAAAGAGGAGTAGGAGGAGGGCAGGAGGGGGAAAGAAGAGAGGGAAGGGGAGGAGACGAGGAAGGAGGAGGGGAGGAGGGGAGGAGATAGAGGCTAAGGGAGGTGGGAGGGGAGAGAAGGGTACAAAGGGATGGCTGAGGAGGTAGGAAGCAGGCAGAAGGTGGAGGGTGGAGGTGAAGAGCTGTAGGCCTGGGATATTTCTGGATGTGGCACTGCAGCTATGGCCCAGAGGCCATAACCCATCTGGAAGAGAAGAGTGGGGTCCGGGAGCCATGGAGAATAGACTTATTCCTATTATTCTTTGTTCCCCCAGCCGGTTCCAGAAGACATGTAGTCTCATTTGAGGCGCCAGGCCAGGGGGAGTTTCCCACTTGCAGCCTCCCCAGCTGTCTTCCCTGCATTTCCTCTTGGGCTCCTGGGCCTGCAGACGAGATGAATGTAGCAGATCCCAGCGCCTCTGGCGTCTCCTACTCTCCTTGACAACACTTAGCCATTGGGTCTCCTCTTCCAGAGGCTTACTCACCCCACTGCTTCCCCATTCCCTTTTCAGTCAAACCCTAGTCCTTCTTTGATTATGTCTTCTCAACTCTCTCCCTCACTGCTCACTTAGATACCAGGGAAGCATGCAGGACCAGTCTGGCCTGACATGGAGGGTGAGGCTGGGTGTCTGAAGCACAGGACGGTCATTTTACAGGAGAGAACCCTGGAACCAGAGAGAGCAGGGACTAGTTCAAGATCACACAGCCGGTCAAGGATATATCCAGATCTAAAGGCTCCTGACTGCCAGCCTCCACCATTCCATTCTGCCATACACTCATGTAACAACTCAAACTTGTGCACAGACACAATTCCTTATCACCCAAGCAGCAAATTCAATTTATAAATCAGGTCAGATTGTGCAAGGTCACACAGCTAGTAAGTGCTGGAGTCAGGACTGGTCCAGGCCTCTTGACCCCTAGTTCTGCTGTTTCTTGAACACAGGAACAAATAACCGCACAGCTCTCTGCAGGTGGCTAGTCACAGATGCCCAGTACCTTAGAATTCTCAGGAACATGGAGGAGGGCCTCCCTGCCCGAAGTCCTTCCTTTATCACCTGCTTTCAACAGAATCCTGTTATCAGAGGACAAAGCCTTCAGCTCTCTTAATCAGAGCACAGGCTGGGAGCACAGGCCCTGTAGGAAAGATTACCCAGTGATTTGCCATTCACCCTGTGCAGAACCTTTTGGAAGGTGAGCTTTGCCAGGGGAATAGGGTGGGGCACTGGCCTGAGAGTGAACCATCTGAGAAGGTCTCTGTGAAGGGTGATAATGCTGGGCCTCAGTCCCTCTGCCTTAGTCCCCTTGCCTTGCACCCTCTTTCGTCCTTCCCCCAAACCATTCAGGATACAGGAAAATTGAGGTTACAAGTATTCTTCCTTTTCTTGATCCAGTTCTCTCAGGATTCCTAGCCTCCTTTGCCTCTCCTTTCATTCTTTTCTCACCATCTCCCTCAGTCCCTATGCCCTTTCCATTTCTTTCCAGCTTGCCTCTTCCAAAAACATCCAATTGCTGCCTTGGTTCCCCATCGCTTGCTTGCCTTGTATTCCTGCCCACTCCTCACCCCTGCCTCCCTGAGCGGACAGAAAAACACAATAAACTTAGTATAAAGAAGATGCTCGTCTTCATTTGTGTGTGTGTGTGTGTGTGTGTGTGTGTGTGTGTGTGTGTGTGAGAGAGAGAGAGAGAGAGAGAGAGAGAGAGAGAGAGAGAGAGAGAGAGATATGCATGGCCTCTTTCTGGGAACCCAGAATCTTCTGATCTGTGGTGTCAGACCCAGGGGAGAGGTTGCCAGGCTTGCCCCAGGAAGGAGATGAGCTTTCTCCGGGGAGGGAAAAGTTCTCTGGAAGCTGATTACTCACCTACCCATCCCCAAAGGGCCCTGTGTGTGTCTGTGAGGCTAAGACTTTGTAGTCACACATGTGTGAGCCACTGAGGGGGAGAGACTGTAGGGGTGTGTGTGCTCCACACGTGTGTATGAATGTGGTGGAGAGCAAGGACCATAAGAAACTGTAATGTGTGCATGCAACTTGTGTGTATCCCCCAAAGAAGTGTGGGTTTGTGTTCCAGGAGGAGGAAGCCTGTGTGTGCGTGTGCGTGTGTGCGTGTGTGTGTGTCCCCCCGTCCATCCCTGCATCCTTTGAGACCCGTGTACCCCCACCCCACAAGCAGCCCAGCTTCAGCACCACTGCCCCATTACTCTTAACAGCCTTCAGAACATGTCCCTCTGAGCTACACCCTAGGCACAGCCCTCATACAGTGACACACTGTGACACATGCCTCCTCCTCCCGGAACTGCTAGCTCCTCAGTCCCCGAACACCACCAGCTGCCTCTTGGAGCTTGTGTTCGTGTTGAAAACGGGATGGGGTGGGGGTAGGACACGAACCATTTCACCAATGAAGCGGGTTCCCCTCCATCCTCTTCACCCCCTCCCTTTCGGCGTCTTCCTTGCCCCTCCTCCTGCAAGTCACACCGTCCAGTTCCCCGCCCTACACTCGTCCCCCTTCCCCCCCAAAAGATTTCCTTCGGTCCCCGACCCAGGGCTCACGGGAAAGAGGGCTCAGGGAGACAGAGGCTGGGGAACCCCTCCGGGGCAAAGACTGAGTGCGTGGCGGGCTGAGCCGAGAGGCTGGGACTGAGCGGAGGGAGGGAGGCCCCTGGTGGGGGAGGGGGAGGGGGAGGGGGAGGAGCTGGAGCTGGAGCTGGCGAGCCGCGTCGGGAGTGAGGTCTCCAAGGCAGTGCTGGGCGCAGCCAGAGGTAAGCCGACCCTTGCCCGGTCCCCTCCCCTCCTTTTCCCCGCTGCCTCCCCTGCCCTCCGACCGGCCCCTCCTCCCCAGCCACCTGCTGTTTCTGCGCTGTAGAATCTGGTGGGCGGCAGGAGGGAGGAGCCGCCTGACCTTACCCCTTCACCCCGAAGGGCAAGGGACCCCTGTCCGCCCTGGACTGCCCCAGATCCCCGCTCCCGTCTTCCTCTGATCTTTCTCTGCCCTTCACCTCCCTCTCTCTGTCCTTCACTTCCTTCCTGCCTCGCTCCCTCTCTGACTCCCCATCTCTTTCTTCCAGAGCCCTCCGGTGGGCCTGAGTAGGGGTGGGTGGGAAGGGGTCCGAGGCTGTCGGGGAGGGAAGTGGGGGAGGTGCTCCTGACCAATTCCCTCCACCTCCCTCTGGCTGGCCATTGCCATGGCAACTAGGGTGTACTGGGCTCCGGAGAGAAGACAAAGGTGGGGGGTGGACTAGGACCTCTTGAGGGCAAGGATTTGAGGTTCTTCCACAGGAAATAGAACATCCTCCTGCTGTGCCCAATTTTTACTCTCATTTACCCCAAAGCCATTATGCCCACCCTTACTGCCTCTCCTCTGTTCAGAGTTGCACCTGATTTCCTCTTAGCCCCCTCCCCTGGGCTTACTGAAGCTCAGCTGTCATGAAATTCTGGACTATCTTCCCTCCCATCAGAGGGAAACTGAGGCTGGGGCAGAGGAGGAAAGACTCGAAGTATACCAGTGGGAGTCAGTATCTTATTGAACATTAGGCTTTTCTTCTCAGCCTTGATATTCCCTACTCCCCTCCTTTGCCCCCCCCCCAACCCTCCTCCCTCCAAAGCCTCCTCTCCAGAGGTCTCTGGGCTTTACCTTGTATTTTCGGATACTATCATTTTGCCCCCTCTTTCTTTCGCTGCTGCTGAAACTCTCCTCCTTCCCCCTAGTCCCCCTTCTTTCCATTTCTGGATGCTCCTGATATCAACAGTTTCCCCACCTGCGGGCTCCTAGTACCCCCTCAGTCCCAGCCTCCTTTCTCCCATCTTCCCAAATCCCTGGTGAGCTGGAGGGTGATCATGCAGGCGTGGGGAAATGGGGCTGAACACCCAGGCCATGGGACCAGGAGCCTGGAAGTTTGGGGAGGGTCTGCAATACCATATCTCAGTCTACTCTGAACCCTCAAGAAGAAACAAGTCATGTGTCTGCCATCATTAGCTCTGAAGAGAGATTCAGGGGCACGAAGATAGGGGTTGAGTAGTACTGAGTAGGGTATATGAGAAGAAGAAACCCGAGAGTGCCAGAGCGGGGTAAAAGGGCTGAAAAGGGGTGGAAGATGGGAGGTCAGAAAACCTTGTTCCTGGAGGTCTGGAAAATAGGGTTCTTATCTGTGTGGGGTATTTGAGCAGCCATCTGATTTAAGGCAGAATATTCTGAATGACCCCATGATCCCTAGTAATCAGTCATTTCTGTAGTTCCAAGAGAAGAGGAGCACAAGAAGCCAGTTGTAGACCAGTGTAGGCTCTACCTTCATCCTCTCCGTTCCACATCTCATCTCTCCCTTGCACTTTGTCCAGGTGGCTGAGCTTTATCCCCATCCCTTGGGGCATGCAGAAGATTTCTGACTAGTCAAGAACCAGAAGAAGAGACCTGCAAGTCCTGGCATGGGGGCCAGACCTCCCCAGCCAGCTTCGTAGTGGGAAAAGCAGCCAGCTTGCCTCCCCTGTCAACTACAGGGATACTTCAGGAAGGGCCCCTGAATATGGAGGCTGAGGACCACCTCTGCTGACCCCCAGTCACATCTTGACTCCCTGCCCTTCACATCTGACCTTAGCTGTATCAGTCATGCAGTGCTGAGCAGTGGAGTGGGCCTAGGAGTGGCCTGCCTCACTACAGGGCAAGGACTGTGGGCATGATGGGTGTGTGTGTGAGTGGGGCTCCTGGGTGAGACCTATCCCCCACCCCCAGGAGTTCAAAGGGGGTGGGGGGCTGAGGATAGGATGGCTCGGGGTGGGGCAGGGGCAGAGGAGGCCTCCCTGCGCTCCAACGCGTTGTCCTGGCTGGCCTGTGGGCTCCTGGCCCTGCTGGCCAATGCCTGGATCATCCTCAGCATCTCGGCCAAGCAGCAGAAGCACAAGCCCCTGGAGCTGCTGCTGTGCTTCCTGGCGGGCACACACATACTCATGGCAGCTGTGCCTCTCACCACCTTCGCTGTGGTACAGCTTCGGCGCCAGGCTTCCTCCGACTATGACTGGAATGAGAGCATCTGCAAGGTCTTTGTGTCCACCTACTACACACTGGCCCTGGCCACCTGCTTCACAGTCGCCTCACTCTCCTACCATCGCATGTGGATGGTGCGTTGGCCTGTCAACTACCGTCTCAGCAATGCCAAGAAGCAGGCGCTGCATGCTGTCATGGGCATCTGGATGGTCAGCTTCATTCTCTCCACACTGCCCTCCATTGGCTGGCACAACAATGGCGAGCGCTACTATGCCCGAGGCTGCCAGTTCATAGTCTCCAAGATTGGCCTGGGCTTTGGTGTCTGCTTCAGCCTCTTGTTACTTGGGGGCATCGTCATGGGGCTGGTCTGTGTGGCCATCACTTTCTACCAGACACTGTGGGCCCGGCCCCGGAGGGCTCAGCAGGCCCGGAGAGCGGGGGTTGGGGGTGGGGCCAAGGGGAGTGGGCCAGGGGGTTTGGGTACCCGGCCAGCCTTTGAGGTGCCAGCCATTGTGGTGGAAGATGCCCGAGGGAAGCGCCGGTCCTCGCTGGATGGCTCCGAGTCGGCCAAGACATCCCTGCAGGTCACCAACTTGGTCAGCGCCATCGTCTTTCTCTATGACTCACTCACAGGGGTGCCCATCTTGGTGAGATTGGGGTCCTCCTCCTGTTCTCCCCAAACCAGGCCCTAGCACGATCATCTGACCTCCAACTCCATCAGCCATACAGCAGCTCCATCACCCATCTTCCTCTCCTCTAACCATCCCCACTCTATTTGTGAGCTCCCATCTGTACCATCCATCTAGTTCCTATTACTCCCAGCTGCATCATGTTTTCCAGTTCCCACTACTTAACTCCATCATCTGTCCTGCAGTCCCCACTACCTAACCCTCCAGCTCCATCATATACTCTGGGGCTCCACTATTCAGCCCCCAAGACCTATCATTCAGCTGCTGAGCTCCACCCTTCATTCCTTAATTCCCTCTGGATACCACAGGATGTCTGACCACTCCCAGAGAGCTCACCTCACCACCCAGCTTTTTGCATCCCCATCTAGTCTCTATTCCTAAGTTTCTCCTGTCTTCAGGTTGACTGCATCAGTACTCTGCTCCTCTCCCTCTGGACCCCAGGGCTTTGCTCTAGTACTCTCCCCTGACCTTCCTTTAAGGCAATACTTTCCCTTCTGTTCATCCCGTCTTCTCTTCCAACTTCGCCTCTTTCATGATCCATTGTGAACCGGGCCATCCCTTCCTGACTTCTTGCCCATTACCTGCGCTATGATGATATCGGATCTGGGTTCAAGTGGGTCCCCTGGGCTCTGGGTCCTGACCCAGCGCCATTCCTCATCCTCCCACCAGGTGGTGAGCTTCTTCTCCCTTAAGTCGGACTCGGCTCCCCCGTGGATGGTGCTGGCTGTGCTGTGGTGCTCCATGGCACAGACGCTGCTGCTGCCCTCTTTCATCTGGTCCTGTGAGCGCTACCGCGCCGACGTGCGCACGGTGTGGGAGCAGTGCGTGGCTATCATGTCCGAGGAGGATGGCGACGACGGTCAGAAGAGGGACCCGGCTTTTGCTTTCCTGGGCATCGGCTCCCTTTTCTGCCCCTTCCTACCAGCCCTTCTCTGTACGGGGACGG